TTAATGTTTTTTCGAGGGGGGGGGGATCAGACCTGGCCCTGGGTTGAATGGATGCCCCACTCACTTTCCGAACACTTGAAATGCCCCCCCCCCGCCCCACAATTATGATAATACCGCATGGGCCAACCTGGGCCCAAATGATTTTTAAGACAAAGAAGGGTATTAAGGAGGCCTCAGTGCTTTGCCCCAGGGCCCCCAATACCCTTTAGACGGCCCAGCCGTGATGTCATATATGCCATCGTGTGTGCGGTCATGTTATTATTTGGGCCATCATGTCATTGTTCTGTCATCATGTCATTGTTCTGTCATCATATCAATATTTGGGCCATCATGTCATTGTTCTGTCATCATATCAATATTTGGGCCATCATGTCATTGTTCTGTCATCATATCAATATTTGGGCCATCATGTCATTGTTCTGTCATCATATCAATATTTGGGCCATCATGTCATTGTTCTGTCATCATATCAATATTTGGGCCATCATGTCATTGTTCTGTCATCATATCAATATTTGTGCCATCATGTCATTGTTCTGTCATCACATCAATATTTGTGCTGTGCGGTCATGTTATTATTTGGGCCATCATGTCATTGTTCTGTCATCACATCAATATTTGTGCTGTGCGGTCATGTTATTATTTGTGCCATCATGTCATTGTTCTGTCATCACATCAATATTTGTGCTGTGCTGTCATGTTATTATCTGTGCCATCATGTCATTGTTCTGTCATCACATCAATATTTGTGCCACCATGCGACTGTTCTGCTTATCTTGTCATTACATGTGCCTAAAATATCAGTGAAGGAAAAGAAGCTCCAAGCAGTAGAAAAATTCAAATATTTGGATAGCACCCTCTCCAGGTCAGGAACAATAGCTGAAGAGATCAATAACCGAATTTTCAAAGCAAAAGTAGCATTTGGAAGCATGCGCAGGAGTATGTGGGAGCAAAGGGGTCTCAGTCTTGTAACTTAGCTGAAGTTATATAGGGCAATCATTCATAACATCTGTTATATGTGCTAGCGAGACGTGGACAGTGCACAGCTAAGACAGCTAAACCATCTTCACCTACGCTGCCTATGTAAACTTCTTGGCATAAAGTGGCAGGACAAAGTTCTTGATACAGAAATCCTACAAAAGGTTGATTTAATCAGCAAAAGGGCAGGGCATGTTGCAAGAATGCCACACAGGAGAGGGAAACGCTGGTGGACAGAAAAAACAACGCTTTAAGTACTGTGTAAAAGCTCCACTCAGATATATGGATATTGACTACTGGTAAGCAATTGCCATGGATAGTACACGCTGGCGTGGTTGACTCACTGTTGGAGCACAATCCTCAGAGAATAAGTGCATTACTAGGCTAAGCAGAATCGACCCAAAGCCACCTAGGACCCAAAGCAACGAGCCCTACGTGGCATCATGTAGTACTTGATGAAGGCCCATAATTTAGTCCATAAAGCTCGCAGCGACCCATATTGAGTGCTATGTGTAGTTTAGTCAGACATATTCAACACTTGACTGTTCATTTCATCTGTGGTGCACATTAAAATAATCGACAGTACAATATCCCAATTATCAATTATCCCAATAAGATTATTTTAAAAAAAAAACTGGAAATATAACTTAAAATCAACTATTAATAAGTGTTAGGTAACAAATCATCAAGTAAACAATCTAGATTCATTTATTGAGCATCATACCATAAACATGGCAATATCTATATTACAATATACATAAATAATCCTTTTGAAGTAAACCTCATGAAGAAAAATTTATAAATAAACCTTTTGAAGTAAGCCTTATGAGGTAAACAATAAAATAATAAAGCAAGGCTTGTTCTATACAGTTTCATAAAGAAGGTACAGATATAGTCTTTGAAGACCATTGTTCTGGAGCAGTCAGTAAATTGTGCGCTCCGCACCTATATAATTATTTATGGGTGCTCTGTAGACATTTATATTTTTCAAAGCAATCATTCACAAGACAATTTAGCAATCATTCACAAGACAATGTAGCAATCTTTCTCAAGACAATGTAGCAATCATACACAAGACAATGTAGCAATCATACACAAGACAATGTAGCAATCATTCACAAGACAATGTCCATGGCATGATTACAGTTTTTAAAAAAAAATCTTATTTGATTTGTTGATTAAGACACTCGGGTAAGCATTTATTTTAGTTCATTTATCAACTTTTCGGTCCTGACTTTCACGATGCAGCTTGGACAGGTCGGTTGAATCCTTACGAACATAACATTCAATCCCATTTATGACAGACTTTGATTGTAAATCAGTAAATTGTGCGCTCCGCACCTATATAATTATTTATGGGTGCTCTGTAGACATTTATATTTTTCAAAGCAATCATTCACAAGACAATTTAGCAATCATTCACAAGACAATGTAGCAATCTTTCTCAAGACAATGTAGCAATCATACACAAGACAATGTAGCAATCATACACAAGACAATGTAGCAATCATTCACAAGACAATGTCCATGGCATGATTACAGTTTTTAAAAAAAAATCTTATTTGATTTGTTGATTAAGACACTCGGGTAAGCATTTATTTTAGTTCATTTATCAACTTTTCGGTCCTGACTTTCACGATGCAGCTTGGACAGGTCGGTTGAATCCTTACGAACATAACATTCAATCCCATTTATGACAGACTTTGATTGATTTGTGTTGGCCCGAACAATGACCCGGAAAGTTGTCCAAAAAATTATTTAACTCCTGAGATGAAGTGCTATCACACACTTTCTTCTCTCTTTGCAATTAAGGTTTTTTTTCGTCTAAAACTGTCTTCTTTAGAAAACTGGGCTGCAACCATCCGGCTAAATGTAGTGTCCTAAAGTTTATTGAAGAAATGGAAGGAAATTCAAACACAGTCTCCTTTCTCTCTCAGGGAATTTTGTATTGAACTGACAGGTGACCACTTGACTGATGTGAAGGTTCCATGTGACACAGCAGAGACTTAAAAAATGTTTCTCTTTATTTGATCTTGTGAATAAAGTCCAATCGCTCACTTTGAAGAGACATGTCAAATACTCACAGACTTGATTTGATTCAAGAAAGATTCAGTAAATTTGGCCAACATGAACTCCAGCAAGATACGCCTCGCTGATTTTCTTCTCAGACAGACATTCAAGGTTTTACCTCCATTGATTTGAAGAAGTATCTTATACTTTTCCGCTCTTTCCAAAAATATCATGAGTTGTACTATGAGTTGAGTTGTGCTAAGAGTTGTACCAGTTGTACCATGGGTTGCATTAGTTGTACCATGAGTTGTATCAGTACCTGAAATACCCAGTAGCTGGATAAGATTCCTCCAAGTAGTTGTGGCAGGTATCTACCTCCGACCATTCAACTGGACTCAGCTTCAACTCTTTGGCAAAAACCACTACAACTTTATGATTTGACTTTATCTAGCAGTTATCACATAGGTCTTGAGGTCTCTTGATCTAGCAGTTATCACATAGGTCTTGAGGTCTCTTGATCTAACAGGCATCACATACATCTTGAAGTCACTTCATCTAGCAGGCACCACATAGATCCTGAGGTGAATATTCAATACCACTGGTCTTATTTTATCTTAATTCCAAAAAATAGCTTCTCCATGCCTGGGTCTACGTCTGGTAAAGCCACAAATCGCCGTTCGGTGCACGTCAAGATGCCTTGGCAATAACAGCTTCATCCCATGGGCCCGAAATGTTGCTGAAACAAAGATCAGATTTTAGGAATTAACCAAAAGATGACAAGATAATAAGACTGAGCAAAATAATTCATAGCATACCGTTGGTTTTTTGAATAGATCAATTCATATAGAACATCAAATATTTCATCTCAAAGATCACTGAGATTGTATAAATCGCTTAGGGCTTTTTTTTTGTTTCATTAAATCAGGGGATTCTTAACCTTTTTGCAGCACTGCAATCCCTTCAGGTTTTAAAAGGTATTGGTTTTTAACAGATTAAATTAATACAAAAAATATATATATATTCCAAAATAAGCAGATGTGATATCTCTACAAAACTAAGTAGCTTTGATATCTCTACAAAACTAAGCAGCTGTGATATCGCTACATAACTTGGATCCAGGTCTATTGCGCAGCACTCCTCTCGACTTTGCTATACGGATGCTAAACATGGACAGTCTACCGGCGTCGAGCCAAGAAACTGAACCATTTTCGCACAACCTGCCTCAGGAAACTCCTCGGCATCAGGTGGCAAGACAAATTTCCTGACACAGAGGTCCTCGCTAGAGCAAACCTACCTAGTATCTTCACCACCCTGATGCAGTCTCAACTCCGTTGGATGGGACATATAGCCCGTATGGAAGACCACTGGCTCCCAAAACAGATATTCTTCAGAGATCTCACCATAGGCAAGTGCTCCCAAGGAGGTCAAAAAAAGTGTTACAAAGACTCACTGAAAGCTGCACTAAAGGTCTTCAACATCAACCCTACTAAATGGGTGCAGGCAGCCCAAGACAGAGCCAGGTGGAGCACAGCTGTCAAGAAGGGGGCTAAATCTCATAGGACAACCACAGCTGAGACACGCAGGCTGGCCCAAAAGAGCAACATTAGATCACCGACTGCAGCAACTATCCCCTGCCTGAGGTGCCAGAGTGTATTTCGAGCATGGATAGTACTAGCCAGCTACCTACGAGCCAATCGTAACCCACCCTCCCCCTAACCGGATGACTCGATTGTCCTAGTCGATTTCAACGGACGAACAACATATAACAACATAACTAAGCAGCTGTGATATAGCTATTTAACCTTTTAGGTAATAATAATATCATCAGCTCTTATTCTATAAATAAATAAATATTCTTTTAAACAGATAGGTCTTTTCCCCTCAGTTTTTTGTGGTTCTGCTACTAAAATGTGTGGGTCTCGTTTGTACCCCTGGCGCTGCCTCTCTAAGTTAAGAACCCCTGAGTTAAAGAGTGCACACTTTGCACAAGCAATGTGGACCATGTGGACCATTTACTTTTTCAGTGAATGTAAACTCAGTAGCCAGGCTGGGAAGATGAAAGTTATCAACACAACCAGCACAAAGTAAAGCATGGCCCCCACGTAGGTCTTAGTTCCCAGAAGCACGACGCAGAGCAGGGTCACGGCAAAGATCAACCACTGGTGAAGTGCATGGTGTCTCATCTAAGTGAGGAAAAAAAGAACGTTAGAACATATAATTGCTTCACTAATCAAATGCTTATGTCTGATCTTGCAAAAGGTACCAGTGAATGGGACTGTTTATAAATCTGTACAGTAAAATGTTAGTTATTAAAAAGTGTACTAACCTTTTGAAGTTTACGTGACTAACACTAAACATTGTACGACCAGATATAACTTTGAACACAGGCCATTAATTGATTTAGGATGACATTTGGTTAACACTGGAAACATAGAGGAAGAGTGGCGGTGTCGTTGCTATGGTAACATCAGGGATTTCCTTTCTGGCGGAGCTCCCCACTATTTGTACCATAAAAAAAAGACTCATAACAGCAAAGATAGGAGTGTTAAGTCTTCAGCTGAAGGTCATCCCCGATTAAAATTGCCTACCTTCAAATTTTTCCTCAAATGTGGCCAGAGGGCAAACAGTTCAAATGATGTCGTCACCGTGGTGAAGGCATGCCAGGTGGTGTGAAGCCTTGATGCCAAACACACAGAAGCGAATATCGCAGCATTCAGGGAAAGAGCACCGGGAACACTGGAATCATACAACAGAGTTATGCAGCCCGTAACAGTGAAAGTCAAACACATCAAATGAACTGACAGTAATATTTTATGAAATGCTTTCTAAGATGTCTCCATCTCATTTTATTGAAACGTACCGGTGCTTCACTCATTACTGTGGACACATTAAATTGTACCGGTGCTTCACTCGTTACTGTGGACACATTAAATTGTACCGGTGCTTCACTCATTACTGTGGACACATTAAATTGTACCGGTGCTTCACTCATTACTGTGGACACATTAAATTGTACCGGTGCTTTACTCATTACTGCGGACTCTATTGAGTGTTGAGCATCTCAAGTGTTTTCCCTAAAACGATTTCATCCTGAAAAATGTCAAATTTGCATATGATGCCAGCCAGACGTGCTGTCTTATGTGAACTTGACACACTAGCCTGACATATAATGCCAGCCAGATATTGTTGTCTTATATGAACTTGAAACACAAGTATAACCTTTAAATAACTTTACCTATAACTAAACAAAAGTCACAGTCTGATGGAGAACAAAAATGCCTGCAACCTTATAAAATAATCATTTACTGACAAAACTAAAGATGCAACAAGGAATCTGAACCTGAAACATTGTAAACGCTGCAAAGTTACAACATTTTAAAAAAATCTTAAGTAAGACAATATCAGTTTAAAAGTATACTTTGGAGAGTGTATAATTTAATGAAGCTAGAAGGACTACATTGAAATATGAAGATAAAGTAGAGGTTATTCCAACTTGTGTCTAAACTTTGGTTGGTTAGGGGTCGTTTGCAAATTACGTCATGCAAAAAATTACCTTTTTTGACCCCCCCCCCCCCCTTTCATGGCACATCACACCTAAAAAAATTCAATACATACATTAAATTTTCATAACTAAACTAATATTTTATTTTAATCTTTAACATTTTCCCATAATGGTTTAAGATGTCGTATTATTAGAAAACTGTGACACGAAAAAACGGAAGTCCGAGCCGAATGAAAATGGCCACATCAGATTTTCCGTCATTTTTCAAATTAATGTTTTTAAAATTAATTGAATAAAGATTTTTCAAAAAAAGAAGAAAAAATATTTGTGATGTCACAAATTTTTTAACCCTGCCCCTCCTCCCTGTTACAAAGTTTCACAAATTCTCGACCCCCCCCCCC